CGGGAGCGCCGCCGTGCTTCCCAAGCGGTGCACTGTAGCAGTGCGCCACCAGGCCGGCCCTGTATGATTCTATTTATATGAAATGTCCAGAAAAGGAGAATCTGTAGTGATAGCTAATAGATTAGTGGTTGCCCAGGGCTGGGGGTGGAGATAGGGGTGTTGGGGGAAAATGGGGAGTGACTTCTAATGGGTACAGGTTTCTTTTTTAGGGTCATGAAATGTTCTAAAATTAGATTATGGTGAGTCAAATCCGTGAGTATACTAAAACCTATTCTTTAAACAGGTGAGTTGTATGATATGTGAATTACATCTCAGTAAAGCTGTATATCCTTACTGGCCAGCTGCCAAAAACTAAAAATAAAAAAATGAAGAGAGAAAAAATAAAGCTGTATATTAAAAAATGTTTGTAGTGAGCACAGATCAAAGAGTTTGCGCATTTAAACTGGGTGTTTTTTTATACTTTCAATATCAACTTTCTTTTTATTGCACATACATATCTCTAGGCTTGTATCTTTCTGCTCTGCAGAGACAGTAACTAGTTTTCCCAGTCTTCTCCATGCTCATTGTAAATCAGCCACCATTCGGTCAATTAGTATCCACCACCTACCACGCACTGTGCCAATACTGACAAGTAAATGAGCCATGTAGCAGTGCCCTTTGCCATGTTTATAAAACCACCTTGCTCAGGATAACTGCTTTCAGATTTTGCATCTGAAATTCTGCATTGTTTATCTCATTTCTTTCATGACCCTGAGATCATATCCTCCAGCCAGGATCTGTGTGGGGACTCCCGTTCACTACTAGTATTAGGAAACTTCTAGAGAATTGAGTCATGTATGGTTAGTGTTTGTCAAAACAAAACATGTGTCTTCTCTGATGCCTGAGTCCTAGCCAGTGGCCACTCAGGGAGTCTGAGCCCTGCAGCTAGGCACAACTTCTTCAGGTCCAGGGGCTGAGCTGAAGGCAGCTGGGCACCTTCGTGGTGAGTGGCTGTCTTGAACTTTGCTTGGAGGACTGCTGATGAAGCCCAGAGACGGAAGGCCCCCAGCTTGAGTCCTCTCCCCTCCCTGGTGAGTGTCCCCCTTTCCCCTCAGTCAGAGACCGCAGGGACGTCTCCCACCTGGCTGTCCCGCCTGGCATCAGAGAAAGCGAGTAGCCCAGATTTGGTTCAATCCCATGAAATGTAAACATCTAACACGATCTTTCTCCATCATCTTCACATTTACATTGTTCACCTTCAAGTGAAAACTCACTTAATGAAGGTGCCCTTTATTTTCATGAAAGTAAAAATCCAGTAGATAAGGTAAAGTAGTGTTTTCCAGACCTAAAGTGCACTAAGTCACCTGGGAATACTGTGCAGATCGGATTCTGATCGTCAGGGTCTGGGGCAAGGCCTGTGTCCTGTCAGCTTCACCAGCATGAAGGGCCTGCTGTAAGTGGGAAGAAGCCCCCACCATCTCCTAATCTCCACTGTCTGTGGACGAGGACACAGCAGTGGCTTAGGTAGTAGAAACCTACTCCAGCCCTTAGTTTGCATCTTTTCCCTCTCAACCTCTGCCTGAACCCTGTTATCAGGCACAAA